TTTAACATATCAATTCAAGTTGCAGTAAGTACCAACCGCCCGGGATGACAGGGCGGTTGGCACTCCTGATTGGCACATAATGTATTCCTTGTCACTCTGGCTCACGAGGTCAAGCGAAATTTATCTTGTGAATATGTAATTTGAAGATTTGTAAACAGTGATTTAACTAATTGCTTCCTATGTGAAATTGGAATTGAATCGTTAAACCTCCATAGTGTCACGGATATTATCGTTAACCCTTTGGTTAACCACCTCCGTAATTACCACCTTCCCACGGTGTAGTGACTGCTGAGAGAGAGAGAGAGAGAGAGGGGGGGGGGGGCGAAGGATAACAAAAGGCTGCCGCTGATTGGTGGAAGGAGCAGAGGGGTGAGAAGGGTGGAAAAAACAAGAGATCACCCCCGCCCACCCCTACACGCCCACGCTCACCCCCACGTGCCGAGACACAAGTGGTCCAGGGAGCAGAGTGCGACACCCTGCTCCTGTGAGCGTTGCCCCGGGGGTCTGTAGTGGGGGTCAGGGCCTCCATCACCCCCCCCCCCCTCCCCACATATTAAGAGCAAGCATATAATAATAATAATTATAGACAACAACACCAACGTGTTATATCAATGAGAAAATCAACTCAAGATAACCTCAAGATACACCCTCACGATGAGAAAATCACTCAAGATAACCTCAAGATACACCCTCAACGATGAGAAAATCAACTCAAGATAACCTCAAGATACACCCTCAACGGGTAGCAGTGTACTCACCTATTTGTGCTTGCGGGGGTTGAGCTCTGGCTCTTTGGTCCCGCCTCTCAACCGTCAATCAACTGGTGTACAGGTTGCTGAGCCTACTGGGCTCTATCATATCTACATTTAAGTGTGCCCACACCCTGTTGTTGTTGTTGTTTTAGATTTAGCTACTCAGAACGAAGTGTCCATGTAGCACGGGCTATGGTGAGCCCGTCTGCCCACACCCTGGCTGTATAACTTATATAACATATTGTGGTATAGGGGGTAAGGTGTTCGGTTTGGGGGAATACCCAGGTCGAGGGTTCGACCCCCTCCCCCCCCCCAGGATCCCTTCAATGATATTCGATTAATAATACTAATTAATATTTAATTAATTTAATTAATTAATACTAATTAATATAATAGATTAATAATTAATACTAATAATAATTGGAAATAATAATTTAAAAGAAACGAATTATTAAATAGTTTATAATTATCCCATTACATATTTACATGACATGAGAATATAAGAACGAAAATGATAAGGCTAATACTAATTATAATGAAACTGAATAAGAATTATAGATTAAAAATAAAAGAATTAGAATTGTAAATATCAAGTGGAAAGATAACAGATAATTGGTGGTAATGACAGTAGGAATAAATATGGATATAATCGATGATAACCGCTGGTGTCATCATTGCTACAAAGTCACTTTGAATGTACATGCAAAGTCACTTTCAACGTACATGCAAAGTCACTTTAAACGTACATACAAAGTCACTTTCAACGTACATGCAAAGTCACTTTCAACGTACATGCAAAGTCACTTTCAACGTACATGCAAAGTCACTTTTAACGTACATGTAAAGTCACTTTCAACGTACATGCAAAGTCACTTTCAACGTACATGCAAAGTCACTTTTAACGTACATATTCTATACCAAGGATATATCCCCCGTTAATCTTGGGGAAATTATCCTAGATGCTGGATATTTACCCAGCATCTAGGATAATTTCCTAGATGCTGTATTATTTCCGAGTTAACTGGGTGTATCCTGGGTGCCCAGGATACACCTCGGACATCCTGGACATCTCCTCACACCTATCTCCTCACACCTACAGGAGATGTATCAGGATACACCTCGGACATCCTGGACATCTCCTCACGCCTATCTCCTCACACCTACAGGAGATGTATCAGGATACACCTCGGACATCCTGGACATCTCCTCACACCTATCTCCTCACACCTACAGGAGATGTATCAGGATACACCTCGGACATCTCCTCATCTTGGGAAAGTGTCCTACAGGACTGACACACCACAGACGTTGATCCTCTTAAAAATGAATCACAGGATGTCAGAGAAATTAATCTCCGGTGCCTGGAAGATAATTAGATCCAGGGTTCACGCGGCACTAATTATTGGGCCGATATCACAACTCCCTTGAGATGGGGTGCGTGGGGGAGGGGGGGTGGTGACAAGGGTTTGCAATGGGGGGAAGGGGTGTGTGGGAGTAGCGTGGAGGGGGGGGGGGTTGACGAGGTCTCAGGGGTATCAGGTTTCTGTTTTACGTGGGAGTAAAAAGGACAGTGGGTAAAGAGGGGAGAGAGAGAGAGAGAGAGAAAGAGGATTACAACTCTTGCTTGCATTTTCACCAGGTTCTTTATATGGTAGTTCCTTTATGATAGTTCCCTATGTGATAGTTTCAAAGGACATTGTCATGGCAATATATGAGTCTCTAGGAGCAGGCTTGAGATGAGCTGAGGTAGGATAACAGCTCTTGCTTGCAGCTTCACTAGGTGGTCATCTGACAGCCCTTATGAACCCTAGTCTTAGTTTAAAGAGAGAGAGAGAGAGAGAGAGAGAGAGAGAGAGACAGACAGACAGACAGACAGACAGACAGACAGACAGACAGACAGACAGACAGACAGAGACAGAGAGACAGAGAAAGAGAGAGTTGTTCACTTGGACATAGTGTGTGTGGTGATCACCTTACGAAACCGGTACATCTTTCCACAGTTGTGTGGGCTTAGTTTAGTATTAAAATATTGAACTCGGAGGCGCCACGAGGTTGTCTATAATACTAATATTAACGTTCCTTAGGTTGTGAAGTTTTCCATGCTCGTAAACTGTTGAATAAATACAAAGTACTCATCTGGGATTGTGGAAAGATGAACAGGTTTCGTAAGGGGAGATGTAAATACAGTATAGTGAATGAGTCCTAGCCTTTTATGTTTACACAGGTCAGAAGTTGAGGTGGTGGGAACCTGTACAGACACTACCACCGTCAGTATACTACCGCCGTCAGTATACTACCGCTATATTACCACCACACCACCACCACCACCACACCAATACCACCACTAGATATCACTGGCGTGATATCACGCCAGACCTGTCCCCTGAAGCTCATATCAAGAGGATAACAGCAGCAGCATATGCCAGGTTGGCTAACATAAGAATGGCCTTTAGAAACTTGTGTAAGGAATCTTTCAGAACATTATATACCACATATGTCAGACCAATCCTGGAGTATGCGGCACCAGCATGGAGTCCATATCTAGTCA